TTCCCCTCCCCCATTTCTGAAGAAGGGTCTAGGCCCGAAACGTCATGTTTCCTGCTCCTCTGATGCTGCTTGGCCTGCTGTGTTCATCCAGCTCTACACCTTGTTATCTCAGATTCTCCGGCATCTGCAGTTCCTACTATCTCTGTATCAAGTTCGGGAACCTGGTATCAGTGTTAGCTATTCTTGTAGAGTGATTATAGCCCCAATGTTTTTATCTTACTTTATTCACGGTGATGAAAGCTAGGCCAGCATTTATTGCCCTCCTGAATTGCCCAGAGGGCAGTTAAGAGTCAACCACATCGCTGTGGGTCTGGAGTCACATGTAGGCCAGACCAGGTAAGGACAGCAGTTTCCTTCCCGAAAGGGCATTAGTGAACCAGATGGGTTTTTCAAACAATTGACAATGGATTCATGGTCATTGTTACGCTCTTAATCCCAGAGTTTTTTAATTGTATGCAAATTTCCACTATCTGCTATGGCAGGATTTGAACCCAGGTCCCCAGAATATTATCTGGAACTCCAGACTAACCATCCTGCAAAAATACCACTAGGCTATCACCTCCCCCTGTATAAATTGTGTTGGGATAGGAAGCTGTGATTGGACCACCATTCTATTTTTTCAATTATTTTATGAGATTTGAGTGTCACTGGTATGGCCAGCATTTGGTGCCCTTTCCCTAATGGCTCATGAATTGAATGGTCTGTTGGCCATTTCAGAGGGCAGCCGAGGCAACCACATTGCTGTGGGTCTGGAGTCACATGTAGGCCAGACCAGGTAAGGGATTGCAGATTTCCTACCTTGAAGAGCATTAGTGCACCAGATGGGTTTTCACCACAATTGATGACACCTTATTGATCATGGCTGGAACTCTCTTTCAGTTCCAGATCTATTTACTGAATTTAAATGCTGCCAGTCACCTAAATAGGATTTGACTGCACTTCCCCACAATATTATCCTGAGCCTGTGGATTACCAGTTGGAGTTAATTGGCTGGGTTGCTGATTTGCAATGCTGAGAGATGCCAACAGTGAGGGTTCAATTCCTGCACATGAATGCCCTACCATCTCAACCTCACCTGAAGTGCAGTGACCCCCAGGTTAAAGAGTTATCCAGTTCTCTCTCTCTCTCCAGTGAGAAAGCAAACTCTGGTAACACTCCCTTTTACCATGGTGACATTACCACTATGCCACCAGATTTTGCAAAGGCGTGACTGATGATACTTTGAGGTTGCTGCTTCAATCTTCAAGGCATACAGGAGCGCAGTGGGGGCTGCTGTGGTAATGACCCTGTCTCTGGACTAGGAGACCTAGGTTCATGTCCCACCTACTCCAGAGCAGTGCAATGACATGTCTGAACGGGTTAATTAGGAAATTATCTACAGGAGCACAGGTATCCCTGCAATCCAACAAAACATGACCTTCGTCTCCAGTGTAGTTCATTCATTAAGTCCATCGGTTCTTTGACCGAGCAACTCATTAATCCACTCTGCCTCCCCCATTTCTCCGCAGCCCTACAACGCCCCTCTCCACTAATGTAATCAGCCCATTTCTCGTGTGAAATTCATGATCAAATCTGGTTCCACTATTTCGAACGCACATTCCAGGTTACAGCTCACTGCTTAAAACCTCCCATCCCTCTCCTCTACCTCCTCTCCCGATCATTTCAAATTACCATATTTCCTTTAATTTTGAGAAGAGAGATGTTGCCTCGCTCCACAAAATAAACAGCCCCTTCCTTCCCACTTCAGCTAAACACAGTTCCCTGAAATTGTCATTGAAATTGACGATTGATGGGGACGGAGTGTCGGCGATCCTTTCTTTCATTTTCAGTCTCTCACTCACGTATGTCTCCGTCAATAATAATACTGCCCCTAAAAATCAGAACACCTTGAGTAAAAGAAAAGCCTCACCTAATTCAATTACAACCCAACCCACTCCCACCCCCCACAAATACTAGGTGTAATCCTCACTTCATCCTGAAAACCGACAATGAGCTAAACTGGCCACTCCGAGAGAGAGAGAGAGAGAGACACATACACACAGAAAAACCTGCATCACGTCCCTGCCCCCTCTCGCTACACAATTAAACAAATGTGTATCAAATCCAGGCTAGCGCCTGTCCACCTGCAGCTCGCCACCTTACACCGAGATTCCCAGAATGGAAAGGGAATTCCTCGCAGCTTTCCCTAATCTTCACTCCCTCCCCAATGCAGCTAATCAAGCCCCAGCAGCAACTGCAGGAAAACCGCCCAGAATAATAAAGGAATTATTCACCTCGTTTCCTCTCCCTCGACAGAGCGCAAGGACAAGGCTCGGAGCTCCTTCTCGTCTTCCCAGTTCAGGTCCCCGACGGGATGAAACAACCTATGCATCTCCGGGGTCGTTTGCCCTTTGCATTCCTGCTCCACAATTAACATGCAGACACGCACAGAGAGAGAGAGAGAGAGTGTGTGTGTGTGTGTTTGTGGAAAAAGAAAGGAGCCCTTTTCCGGTCTCTGAAGAGAGGCAGAGATGAATGACAAATACCAAGATGGGTAAGAGAAAGCTGGCCCCTGCTGGACAATGTCAGGAGCTGCACAAATGTACCCCACTGTGAGATGGTTTCATCTCATTGAGACTCGCTCGTTTAGGGGAGAGAGGCTTCCTCTCAATTGGACAGCACTACCTTCAGCAGAGCAGACCAGTCCATTAAATGTGCTCCTTCTCGTCAAAGCAGAGAAAGAATGGATTTTCACTTGTGATAGCCCCTATTCACAGCCTTCCAAAGTGCTTTTTTTTCCAAAAAAAAACAACTCTGGAGTTAACATTTTGAAGTTTGCAGTCACTGTTGTGGTGTAGGATAGGCAGATGCCCATCGCCACACAGCAAGTTCCCGCAAACAACATGACTATCGGGACCTAGAGGTTGGAGAAGCTTGAGTTCATCCAAAACAAGGCAGCCTACACGATCCACACATCAGTCACCACTTTAAAACATTCACTATTGTTCGTGCACAAAGGCACCAGCCTGTGCCCACCCCCCCAAAAAAATGTCACAGATCACCAAGGTAACTCCCCCCAACAAATATTGCAATCTCTTCCACTTTGAAGAATAAGGGACATGGTCAGAAATCACACGATACCAGGTTATAGTCCAACAGGTTTATTTGAAAACACAAGCTTTCGGGGTCTTACACCTTCTTCAGGCATTAGTGAGAGAGGTAGTATCAGACACAGAATTTATAAGTAAAAGATCAAAGGGTCACACCATTCTTTAGTACATCCTCATCAATTTGTGTTTTCAAATAAACCTGTTGGATTATAACCTGGTGTCATGTGATTTCTGACTTTGTCCACCCCAGTCCAACACTGGCACCTCCATATCAAGAATAAGGGAAGCAGAGATGCAACAAGGCTACCACCTGATTTGATTTAGTTTGATTTATTATTGTCCCATGTTCCTAAGTACAGTGAAAAGTTCTATTTTGTGTGCAGTACAGGCAGATTATACCATACAAAGTGCATTAGGATAATAGAACAGAGTGAGGAATACAACGTTATGGCTGCAGAGAAGGTGCACAGAGAAGAAGGTTAACATTAAATGTAAATTGTGAGAGGTCCATTCAGAAGTCTAAGAATAGGGGGGAAGAGGCTGTTTAAGGTTTTGGCGTAGATTTGTAGCTCAGGTTGTGGGTGTTGAGGTTGGTTGGCTCACCGAGCTGGTTTCTTGTTTCGCAGTTGTTTTGTTACCATGCTGGGTAACATCCTCAGTGCAGCCTCCGATGAAGCGTCGGTGTTTTCCAGCCTGGTTTTTAAACTCTGGTGTCCATTGAGATGGATTGCCTCACTTCCGGTTTTCCTTCGTAGTGGAACGTATATGGGGTCGAGTTCAATATGTTCATTAATAGCATGCTTTGTGGAGTGCCAGGCTTCTAGGAATTCCCGTGCCTGTCTCTGCCTAGCTTGTCCCAGGATTTTGGTGTTGTCCCAGTCGAAATGGTGATTCTCCTTATCCATGTGGATTGAGATGAGAGAGCTGTTCTTGGAATTTACTCATACACATATACAAACTTTTATGTCTTCTGCCTGATGGAAGAGAGTATAAAAACTGAAAGAACTGTGGATGCTGTAAATCAGGAACAAAAACAAAAGTTGCTGGAAATGCTCAGGCTCTCCCATGTCCTAGCCCCTTACCCCAAATACCAGGCCTTGTTATCACATAGTCTGCCATCACACACTACCTATCGTGAGTCACTAACAGTCCCCATTAACAAATATTCGCCCTCCCAGCCAGATCGTTATCAACTCCTTTGTCTATCCAACTGCTCTTCTCTCTCTTCGGGCTCTATCCTATCGTTTACTCCCTACCCCATTCCCTTCCTTATTTTCTGCGTAAGCTGACATTTTCCCAGCCACCATCACTTCTGAGGACGGGTCACCGGACCCAAAACGTTAACTCTGATTTTTTTCTTCACAGATGCTGCCAGATCTGCTGAGCATTTCCAGCAACTTCTGCTTTTGTTCATGGAAGAGAGTATGACTGGGGTGGGAGGGGTCTTCGATTATGCTGGTTGCTTTCCCGATGCAGCAGGAAGTATAGATGGAGTCAATGGATGGAAGGCTGGTTTGCGTGATGGAATGGGCTATGTTCACGACTCTCTAGTTTCTTGCAGTCTTTGGGAAGATCTGCAAATCTTCCTTCAAGCTACAAACCATCCGGAGTCAGAACAGACATGGAGAATGTTGGAGAAACTCAGCAGGTCTGGCATCCCTCTTTTTCAGAATAATCCTGAAGAAGAATTATACCAGACTCGAAGCAATAACTCTGTGTTTTTCTCTCCCTTGATGCTGCCAGACATGCTGAGCTTCTCTGGTATTCTTTGCGTTTGCTCCAGATTTCCAGCATCTGCAATATTTTGCCTTTATCTAGCTTGGAGCACTGTCGCTGCTCCTTCACTGTTGTTTGTTAGAATCCTGGAACATTCTCCCAGTAGCATCACACGGACTGCAGTGGTTCAAGAAGACAGCTCAACAGCATGTTCTTGTAGGCAATTAGGAATGAGCAATATACGCTGGTGATGCCCACATCCCAAAAACAATTGGGAATAAAAAATCTAGTCTGATTTCAGTGGTAAGTGTTAGCCAGGACACCATGTGGTGGGTGTAGAGAGTTCCTCTCGGGGACTTTGGGGCCAGGAAGGCAGTTGAGTGTTTAGTGAGAGCAGAGTCGAGGTGGGTTTCATGGGCAAGATGAGTTTGGAGAGAGAGCGTGAGGGGAGATAGGAGAGAAACGGGGGAAAATGTGAGTTCTGGCCTAGAGTAAGGCGGAACTGTTAGAGAAGGCAATGGGAGAGAAACAGCACCTACAGCTGAACAGATGGTCTCAAACTAGGAGTAGGTGCTCCCAGTTGGCAGTGAAGGAAGTCTATGATTAAAATTGGAGCAGGAGTACGTCTCTTGGCTTCTCAAGCCTGTCCTGCTATTTTTTCCGATCTGATTTGATTGTTGTTTTAACTTTACTATCGTGCCCGCCCCTTAATCCATAACTCCCTTGTCGATCAAAAATATTTTCCTTCTGAAGAAAGAATGTGAAATATCAACTATCTTGCATGTTCTTGGAGCATGCAGCCTCACCTACTGAGTATCTTCAGTGTTTTCTGTTTCTATTTCAAATCTCCAGCAGTATTTTATCATCTCCCTTCTGTGAAACCTCACTTTAACCACCATTCCTGATTCATCATCTCATTCAGGAAATTAGAATCACAGAATCCTTACATCACAAAAGGACCCATCCTGTCTGTGATGGCTCTCTGAAGGAGAGATTTACAGAATACCACTCACTCCATTCTCCCTTTAACTCTGTACATTATTCTTTTCCTGACAGTAATCCAATTTCCTCTTACATGCCTCAATTGAACCGCCTCCACCACATTCTAGATCCCAACCTGCCACCACATGTGTCTTCTCATGTGCCCTTTGCTTCCTTCACCTTAAAATCATGCCCCTTTGACCTTGATCTTTCCATCACTAGGAACAACTTTTCCTTGTCTCGTGTATGCATATGTTCGTAATTTTGAATCTCATCTTGACCTTCTTTTCTTCAAGGTAAACAGTATCAACATCTCTGACCAATTTAAGTAACTGAAAGTTCTCATCCCTCGAACCATTCTTCAGAGAGTCTTTTCCACAGCCTTCTTGAATGTCATCACATTTTTCATAAAGTGTGATGCTCAGAACGGGATGCGATGCTCTAGTTGAAACCAAACTATTCTTTTCTACAAGTTTAACATAATTTCCTTGTGCTTAAACTCTATGCTCCTCTTAATGCAGCCTAGGATAGTGTATGCTTTATTAACTGTTCTCTCACATGCCCGGCCATCTTCAATGAATTATGCACTTATACACACAAGTCTATTTCAATTTCAGGTCTGAAGCAGAATCATAATTCTATTTCTCTTCACAAATGCTGCCAGACCAGCTGAGTTTCTCCAATATCTTCTGTGTTCAGGTTCCCAGCATCCACAGTATTTTTCTTTTATTCACACGAGTCTACTGATTCAACCACTTCAGTCTTTCAAGATCTCTTGAAGTTTTGAATACCTCTATCAAATCTCCCCTCAACCTTCTCTTCTCACAGGCAAATGGATCCAACTTCTCCAATCTATCCACGAAACTGAAGTTTCCCATCACTGGAACCATTGCGAATCTTTACTGCCCCCTCTGGAATGACATTGCATCATTCCTAAAGTGAGGTGTAAAGATATTTTGTGAGGCATTTGGCTTTAAACAAATGATTTTGTGAAAACTTTTCGTAAGGCACTTTATTCCTCCTGTCCATTTTGAATCTCCCTGTGTCTAACATAAATTTCCACATGTGAGAATTAGGTGGACAGCAGGATGCAGCTCGCAGACCTTGTCCCAGGTCTGATAGTGTTTGATATAATGAGCAGCCAATGGGACCAACTTCTACTGCGAGATGTACCAAATTAAATGAGGTACATTTCCTTCTCTCTAAGACAGTCCCTTGATTTTGAGGGTGGCTTTTTTTCATTCTGGATTGTGGGCCCAAGGCTGGATCAATGGTCAGTGCTGGATCCACATCCTGCCACAAATGGGGCAATTGTGTTTGAAGAGGTGGATGACTGGGATGCTCAGGTTTTCACGTACACCTTCCATTGTTTGTGCCGGCCTCCCTTTACCAGGGACGCTCAAAATGGTTGAGCTCCTTTGAGGATGCTTCTTCTCCAATATGGGTGGCCTTGGGCTACAGATTGCCATGAATTGGTGGAGGTATTACATTTGTTTTCCAGGGAGTTTTTGGGAACATCCTTGAAACATTTTCCCTGCCCTCCTGATAACTGCTTGCTGTGACAAACCTAGCAGCGGGGAGAGCTTGTTTTGGACATCTTGTGTTAAGCAAGTGAGGCACTCTATCAAGCAACAAAGGAACATGATAGGCTTCACCACGTTAGGAAATACGGATGACAGCCAAACCGACCACAAAGGATTTCATTTCATTCCTTGCCACGTCATGGAAGTATCTTAAAATTCATCACCCATGAATTTTTGATGGAGTGCATTGTCTGTCACCATATGGGCAAAATGTAGCAAAAATACTGCATCATTAAGTTTTGATATGAAAGGGATAAATGGCCTACTTTGGTTTTTATGTTCCAAGCCCTGAACTCAGAGAAAGATTTTAGACTGAACTAAATATGTGTTTATATTGAGAAGACAAAGTTAAAATAACATTAAATCACAGGGATAAAATGCCTCGCCTCTTTCCACTCATTTGAAGCCTGGCATATGTCTTGAGTTGGATGGTGGGACTGTTATTATCTTTCATTGTGTGAAATCTCTCCAGCAAAGAATGGCTGTCTGCCATTATCCAGCCTGTCCTGTTGGACTGATCCAGAGGGTTTCCATTAACAGCAGCACAATGCTTTTTGGAAGAGTTAAGATTTGTTGGAACATTAAGGAATTCATGGCTGCAGCTTGATATTGCCAATGGTATTTTATTCTAGTACTGTCTCTCGCTGTCTCTCAACAATCAACAGAAAGTGGACAATACTTGTCAGGAGAGGTTTGGAGGTGTTCGTGTTCCATGGCATATGTTATCCTCGTCCATCTATATTATTTTTGGATGTTACATTCAAAGCAACTTCATACAGTGTCAGTTCTAAACAGTACATGCAACTGCAATGTACTCAGTCTGCAGGATGCACCTCAGTAATTCACCAAGTCTTCTTTGCCAGGACCTCCCTAACAACCAACATCAACCACTTGTAAAGTCAAGAACAGCAGCGGAGATGGCAGGAAACTAGCACTCCTTAAATTCCCCTCCAATTTACTAATTTGGACATATATCGCCATTCCTTCATTATTCACTGGCTCAGAATCCTGGAACTCTCCATCCAGCAGTATTTCAGGAGTACCTTTGGTACAGAGACTGTGTATATCAAGAAAGCGGCATTCCACCACTTTATCAAGAGCGACTAGGTATGTGCAGTAATTTCTGGCCTTTTCATATTTCAAGAATTAGATTTTTATAATAAATGATTTTGAATGAACGAATGATTTTATTGTCATGTGTGTTTTACAGTGAAAAAAATTTTGCATTAGAATCCCTCAAGTGTGGAAGCAGGCCATTCAGCCAACTGATTCCACACTAACCCTCCAAAGAGTATCCCACCCAAACCCATCTCCATAATTCCCATGACTAACCTGGCCATCCCTGGACATTGTAGCATGGCCAGTCCACCTAACCTGCACATCTTTGGACTGTGGGAGAAAATTGGAGTACCCAGAGGAAACCCACAGACACAGGCAGAATGTGCAAACTCCATACAGACAGTTGCCTCAGGGTGGAATTGAACCTGGGTCCCTGGTACTGTGAGGTAGTAGTGCTTACCACTGAGCCACAGTGCTGCCCTTAGGTAAGGAGTTCATCAGAAATTCTCATAGAAGTACAGACTCCAAAGCCAAAATACCAAATCGCAAATTGAAACACAAAATTGTGTTTTCAAATAAGGTGACTAAAGAAACACAAAACATGGCTTGTGATAACAAGGTGTAGAGCTGGATGAACACAGCAGGCCAAGCAGCATCAGAGGAGCAGGAAAGCTGACGTTTCCGGCCTAGACCCTTCTTCAGAAAAAAAAACATGGCTTGTGTTGACTGTGGATGAGGAAGAGAATTCAGGATCTTTGGTTGCCCTCTGCTGGTATGTAAAAGTACATTCCCAGGATAAATGACCGCACCTCAAGGTTTTAACCATAGCGATCTACTGGGATATGCCTTTAGTCTATTATTTAAGACACCTCTCCTACTTTAAAAATTTTAATCAGCAAGATTCACAACTTCAGGGATGCTAATGCTTGGGTTTCTCTTATAATCCCTTTGCACAAAGGAGCTAATGTCAGATGCGGCTCAGTTGCTGATATCTAATTTTAAGTCCCACACCAGAGATAAAATCCAGACTAACATTCCCAGTGAAGGACTGAGGGAATTCTAAAGCGATGGAGGTACTGCCTTTTAGAATGGAAGTTAACTGTCTGCTCTCTCATGTGGGCGCAGAAGATTCCACTGCATAATTACAAAAATAAAGCAGGGGAGTTCTCCCTTTTGAAGGAGAATCATACTGAGCTTAAAACATGAATGCAGTTTCTTTCTCCACAGATGATGCCAGGGCTGCTGAGTTCCTCCACCACTTTTTTTGTGTTTGTTTTCAGATTTCCAGCATCCACAGTAGTTTGCTTTCATTTGAGTTCTCCCTAGGGACTGGTCCAACATTTATCCTTCAAGCAACATCACTAAAGCAGATTATTTGGTTATTTTCACATTGCTGTTTGTGGGACATTGCTTTGCACAAAATGGTCATCACACTTCCTACATTACAATAACGACTACACTTAAAGAGTTGTGAAATTTAGCGTTCTTGCCTCTGTCCTGAAGAATTTAGCATTATGCTGCCCTCATTTCTGCAATATGCATGTTCTGAATGACCAAATTACTTTTAAACTTCTTAATCAGTGTCAAGTCTCAAAGGGGAATTGAATATATGCTTAGAAAAGAAAATATTGCAGGTCCAAGAGGAAGGGCAATCAGGAAGTGGAACTAATCTGATAGCCAGGAAGGCACAGTGGCTCAGTGTTTAGCACTGCTGCCTTACAGTGCCAGGGACCTGGGTTTGATTCCACCCTTGGGCGACTGTCTTTCTGGAGCTTGCATGGTCTTCATGGGTTTCCTCTCACAGTCCAAAGATGTGCAGGTTAGGTGGATTGGCCATGCTAAATTGCCCATAGTGTCCAGGGATTTCTAGGCTAGGTGAGTTAGCCATGGGAAATACAGGGATGGGGGGGCGGTTCTGGATGGTTCAGAAGGTTGGTGTAGACTTGATGGGCCAAATGGCCTATTTTCACACTGTAGGAATTCTATGGGCTCTTCTGATATTGACACAATGGGACAAATGGCTTCTTTTGTGTGCTAGATTTTTATATAAATGAGGTTCAGATGGTTTGTTCTCTGGCTTGGGGGTGGGGGAAGGCTTTGCATGCTTCATTTTATGGAGGTTAACTGGGGATGAGGTGTGGGTCTTGTCCAAGAGTGACCCTGAACATCATTGTTAGCAGAAACTAGGGAGCAATCTCCATTTCCTTCTTCCTGTGTTCCAATCTCTCACTAAACTCAGTTTCCCAGTTACCAGTTTGCTTTTACAATGGTGAAATCCCCTACCCTGCCGAGAAAAAAAATTACAATGCTGGGGACTTTGAACTCACCTTCTGCATTGCAAACTTTTATGAATCACAGAGATATTTTTCCACCTGGGCATGACTGGCTCACTTTGTATTGATGTGCACAGATACATTAAGACCATGGCCTTCTGACCTGCCAAGCCCCAGGTGATTATTGCCCAAATAAGTACGATGTCTTTGTTCTGAAATATCCATGTAAACAAGAAAATGCTCAGATTGGCTCCTGATGAGCAGTTCTCAGTTAATTATTTACCTGTGCTTCACATCTGCCAGCCCCATGAGTGTTGGAGTCTCCTGGAAAGGGGCGGGGCTGTCTGTTTGTGAGAATACCTGTAAAATGGAGATTGGAGTATCGCAGGTGGACCTTGGCCGTCTCAAGTACTGTGTGGGACTGCCGCAGATCTTCCTGAGGCTCCAGTCAGTACAGGCAGCTTCTGAGATTCACTGCAGCGAGGGGAAGCTGGAAGGATTTGACTTTTGGTCTTGATTGAGTGTCGTCGTTTTTAAAATCACACAACTCTGGACTGGTCTGGCCAGGTAAAAAGAGACGCCTGTTTTCTTGATGAGAATCAATCAAAACTCAATTTATTTTATATTGTATCTTAAACCCTTTTATATGTTTACTTGGTGGAAACGGGTACCATGTCTAGTTTAGTACTAAGGCTGTTGGTTAGAGAAATATTTGCCAGTATATGTTGAGTTAATTGCGTTTCTATAATTGCGCCTGTCCTCTCAGGAATTGTGCAACTCTTAATCATTATCCAGGGTCATTCTTTGCAGTACAGACTGTCCCAGATTTACGAATATCCAATTTATAAATGCTCATAATCGTGATTCAGGGGTAATTTATACAGGGATATAAATTTTAAAGACCTGACATACTGGTGTGTATCATGAGTGGTATAGATAGAGTTAATGGTAGTTGTCTTTTTCCTAGGATGGGGGATTTCAAGACTAGGGGACACATTTTTAAGGTGTGAAGAGAGAGATTTAAAAAAGATATGAAGGGCAATTTTTTTTTACACAGAGGAATGTTCGCGTGAGGATTGTACTTCCAGAGGAATTGGTGGATGTGGGTACAATTACAACATTTAAAAGACATTTAGATAAGTACATGAATAGGAAATGTTTGGAGGGATATGGGCCAGGAGCAGGCAGGTTGGACTAGTTTAGTTTGGGATTATGTTCAGCGTGGACTGGTTGGACCGCAGGGTCTATTTCCATGCTGTATGACTCTATGACTCTATAAGGCTATTTTATTTTGTCCTGTATTATGCTCTGGCTTGTGTATGAATTAACTCAAAAATGGAACTTACTCATTGCCTATATATGTGTACTTTATGATTTTTTTTCTAAATTACACATCTCTGCTGCAAGTCGGTCATAGACCTGGGTCTTTAAGGCCAGTGGTAGGGGTGCTGCCACTGCACTACAAGGGCCCTTACATCGCACAAGCCCTCTCTTCAAACATAAGTAGGAGCTGCAGTAGGCCATATGGCCCCTTGAGATCATTACCAATCTTGCATCTCAGTCACATCACCTCATACTTTTCCCATATCCCTCCAATGCTTTAGTGCCCAAGAATTCAGAATTATAGAATTATTATCATGCAGAAGGAAGCCATTGGCTCATTGTGCCTGCACAAGCTCTATCTATTACCTAGTGCCAATCTCCTGCCTTTTCCCCATATCCCTGCACAACATTAGCATCCAGAAAAAACATCCAATGTCTTCTTCCAAACCTCAATTAAACATGCTTCTACCACATTTCCAGGCAGTGCATTCCACACTCTAAGTACTCACTCACTGACCATAATCCTGAAATACTCAATGACTGATCATCCAATGTACTCTGAGGTAGAGAATTCTAATGATTCATTCCAGTCAGGCTGAAGAAATTTCTCCTCACTTCAGTCCTAAATGGCTTCTCCTTATTCTGAAACAGTGTCTCCTCGATCAGTGCTTAGAATCATAGAATCCTTGCAATGTACAAAGAGGTCATCAGAGGAGCAGGATTTTCTAAAGAAGGGTCTAGGCCCGAAACTTCAGCCTTCCTGCTCCTCTGATGCTGCTTGGCCTGCTGTGTTCATCCAGCTCCACACCTTGTTATCTCAATAACAAAGTAGAAGCCTCAGCAATTTTATCTTTGAAATGTTGCTAACTGTGCTGAAACGCAGCAGCACTACAACTGCAGTTTTAACGCATAAAGAAGATACTTTAACTGAAGTGTCTTGGAGCTGGCCAATGATTAAATGCAGGTAATGCATTAGGTACATTGATCACCCACACAATAAGCTGGCAGAAATGATAAGTGACTCAAATTATCCCCTTGATAATCAAGAACCTATCTATCTTAATCTTAAAGTCTTAGGCTTAGAGATTTCAAAATGCAACATATTAATAGTCCCCTCACCCTCCCTCACTCAAGAGTCTGACTGAAAGCTGCATTGAATATATTAAAAACAGAAAAGAGGAAACTAGACTGGATCTTGTGATCTCATGGACAGTTAGGAACAGGAGTAGGCCATTCAGCCCATTGAGTCTTCTCTGCCTTTCAATGTGATCATGGCCATTCAAACTCTTCGATGCCCTTTACTCACCCATCCGCACAACCCCAGGAATCTATCAATCTCTTAAACATAATCAAAGATTGAACCTCTACAGCTCTCTATTGTACAGAATTCCAAAGATTTATGTCCCTCTGAGTAAAATCATTTCTCCTTATTTTGGACCTAAGTTTTTACACTGTGTTCCCTGGTTTTAGGTACACGGACCAGGGGGAATATCTTATCTTACCTTCAACTCGAAATGGATTTATCAAGCCTTGCCCCACCTCCAACCCCCACCCCACCCAACCCCGCCCCAACTTCTGGTCTGTCCCACTCTCCATAAAGTTATGTATGTGACCAACTTTATTTATTATTTTCTTGCTGGCTTGTCTTCCACTTGTTGATGCCTTGATTCTTGCTGGGGTGAGAGAGTGATGTGGCTTCAAGAATACTTCACCCAAGGACCTATTCTAAAGGTGTTGGGGTCAACAGGCCTATGTTTGACAGGTTGTTTGACTACAGTGGTATTAGAAAAGGTAGTGCTACTGCCTTTGAGCTGGCAGGTCATGGAGTCATGTACCACTTTAGAGATTTGAGCATATGATCTGGACTGACTGACCATTTGGTGTGGTACTGAAGGGGTGTTGTGGAACTATGGGCCTATCTAGCCTCTCAGATGGATGTCAAATATCTCATGGAGCCACTCAAAGAAGAGGACGAGGGGGCTTTTATGGTGTATGCTAACATTTATCACACTGTTACAAAGATTTGAACCAGGGACCTCTTAATCTGGCAGTTAAATGCTCTACCACTGAGTTACATCCCCTCAGATGGATTGAAGGAGCTGTTTGTTTAAAATATTGATTGTCATGTGAGGGAGCAATTGTGTGAGCAAGAAAAATATAACAAAAGCAAAATACTGCAAATGCTGGGAATCTGAAATAAAGACAGAAGCTGCTGGAGAAACTCAGCAGACCTGGCAGAATGTGTGGAGTGGGAAACACAGTTAATGTTTCGATTTGAGTATGGCTTCTGCAGAACTAATGTTCTATGTACTTGGTGCATGTGCACATTGATGTAATTGGAGAAAAAACAGGAAGAACTCGCATTTTTAACACCTTTCTCTGCGACTCATTTCCTCACGAACCCTGTCAATGCAAGACCCAATCAGGAGATGCCTCCAAGCTGTATCAATGGTGCAGGACAGAAAATACTGGAGATTGTGAGCTCCTCCCAAACCCGTGACCTCTACTGCCCAGGACAAGGGTAGCAGATGCCTGAGACCACCAGATGCAAGTTCTCCTCCAATCTACTCATCAGCCTGACTTGAAAACGTGTCATCATTCCTTCCCCGTCTCTGAGCCAAAAACTTGGAACTCCCTCCCTAACAACACTGTGGGTCTAGCTACACCACATGGACTCCAGTGGTTCAAGAATGCAGCTCACCATCACCTCCTCCAGGGTAATTAGGGATGGGCAATGAATGCTGCGCTAGCCAGTGGAACTCATATTCTATGAACAGACAAGAGGAAAACATTAATTCCCACGATAGAGTAAGCAGAAAAGTACAATATGCCTTGGGCAGGGTCTGTAATGTGGTAATGGTGGAGGAAATGAGTCTTCTTATCACACTGAACATTATGTACTGGGTGTGCCCTGTGTTATCAGTGCAATAGAAACCTAACCACATTGTGGGAGGCACAGTATTGTTTATACCTGGCAAAGAATACAACAAAAGCTGTGGAGCGCTCTGGTGTTGCAGTGGTAGTGTCACTCTATCTGGGCCAGAAAGCCTGTTTTCAAACCCTATTTGCTCCAGTGATGTGTAGCAAAACCAGGTTGATCAGAATATATCTACAATAAAAGCTGTTACAGCTCTGGTCTCCATTGAATAGTCACAGATTGGCCATGAAGTCCTGGGCAAAGAGGAAATTATTCTTTCAAGTGTGTAACTCAGGTTTGCATAGGCTCAATGCTGACAATTTATTCAGATCAGTTTGTATCAGGTCTTTAGAGTCATAGAGAAATAGAGATGTACAACATGGAAACAGACCCTTCACTCCAAATCGTCTATGCCAACTAGATATCCTACATTAGTCTAATCCCATTTGCCAGCATTTGGTCCATATCCCTCTAAACCCTTCCTATTCGTATACCCATCCAGATGGCTTTTAAATGTTGTAATTGTATCAGCCTCTACCATTTCCTCTGGCAGCTCATTCCATACATGCACCACTCTCTACGCGAAAAAGTTGCCCCTTAGGTCTCTTTTGATTCTTTCCCCTCTCACCTTAAAGGGAAAGTGGAGGAACAGGCATTTGAGCCTGTTCTCCTGTTCAATCTGAGCACAACTGATCCTCTATCTCAATGCTGTATTCCTACTTTATCCCCTTACCTCTTTATGCCTTATAATCTAAAAATTTATCTCCCTTTTTCTTGAATATATTCGCTGACTTGGCCTTCGGTAATAGAGAATTCTACATGTTCAGTCCCCTTTGAGTGAAAAAATCCTCATGTCAGTCATAAATCTGCACAAGCAGGCTCAGGAACAGCTTCTTTCTGGCCGTTATCAGACTGTTGAATGGACTGTAGCCTCAAATAATGCAACCTGCAATGTAACCTGTATGCCTCTAAGTCTTTTTGATCTGTACATCCTTTTCATTGTGTTTAGGTACACCTGACAATAAAATCAATCAGTCAATCAATCAGATGGTCTGCCCCATATTCTCCAATGAAGGAAAACATCCTCCTTGCATCTGGTTTGTCAGGCCCTATTAGAATTGTATATGTTTCAGTTAGATCCCCTCTCTTCTAAAATCTAGAGAAAACAGGCCCAGCCGATCTCCCCTCCTGGGACCGTCCTGCCATCCCCTGCATCAGCCTAGTGATCCTTTACTGCATTCCCTTTGTGCTTATCGTGACCTTTATACAGGCCTCTTGAAGTGCTGAGCTTTGTAATATTTTTATTGGTGCCTTTTGAGGACTTGGT